AATTTGCTACTTGCATTTGCAGGTAGCAAATTTACTTGGAATTAGGGAGATTTACTGCAAAGTAAGCATGTGCATGTGGAGATGCACATGCTTACTTTGCAGTAAGATATGCTTCTGCAGAGTTAATTATCTCATGTAAATGCATGCAGTGACAACAAATAGTGAAAATTCTTTTTCTTTAGAAAATTTCTATATGTTTTTCTCACTTTGGTCAGAATGCTGAAGTGTCTGTAACAGGCCATCAGAACATACTTTTTATTTTGTTGTTTTACAGTTTCATCTCACTCCTTCCAAAAACCTTCACTGTTTGGAAACTGTTCTGTACCTTTCCACCCAAAGATTTTCTCAAGTGTAGGTGTCTTACAGCACTGTTGCCTAGAGCAGCTGATAACAATTGTGTTGCACTGAGAACTGCAAAGTCATTCCTTCCTGACATCAGTTATGGAAGACCATCATGAAATAACAGACTAATGCAGCCATTTTATCTTTACTACTCATAAATTAGGTTTTAAACCTAGCAATTGCTGTTTAATTATGAGGTGAACAGCCTTTCTGCAGGAACATATATTTCTCATTGCTGCTTGCCTGTGACACATTGTGATGTTGAATGTCATGTACTGTAATATTTAGAGGTGTACTGATACATTGGTCTGATATTGGATCAGCACCGATATAAAGAAAATTGACTGTATCAGAATTTTTTTTTTTTTGCCTGATGTGGCTGATAAATGCCCTATGCATGTGCACAGCCACAGCGCAGCACAGAATTAGCAAGGAACACAGCCCAGCAGCTTGGAGAGAGGTGGCCAGCTGCTATGTCTGTTGTGGTGGAAGGGGAAGGGGAAAGGAAGGGGCATGGGAAAGCGCAGATTGAGGCCCCTGCAGTGAGGAAGGCTGTGGGGCTGGGGCAGGGGTGCAGGGCGGAGCCGCGAGTGGCTCATTCGGGAAGCGTGGCGGGGGGTAACTTCCACCATTGCATGCACCTCAGGAGGGCATGTGCCTCCCAGATCTGCATGGGGTGAGGCAGGGTGCCTCTGCAGGCTGGGGCTGTGCTGGGCTCTTTCCAGCAGGGGCTGGGCTGGGCTGCAGTTGGGGTGAGGCAGGTGGTGGAGCTGGAAGTGGGGGTTGGAGGGGCTACAGTGAATTTTGGGGTGGCTGCTGCCCTCCCTGTAACCTCCATCCCAGTGCCGTCGCTGCCTGTCCCAAGTGCAGTCTGGCCCAACCCCCACTGGGAAGAGTCCAGTGCAGCCCTGGCTCCAGCCTGCAGTGGTAGCCTGCCCTACCCCCCATGCAGATCCGGAAGCACACACCCCCCAGGCCCTCCCAGGATGCACTTAGCAGCGGGAGCCCCCCCTGTGCCTCCCCAGATGAGCTGCGGCTCCATCGCACACCCCACCACAGCTGGGCAGTGCCTGCCCCTGCCCCAGCCCAACCCCAGTCTCACCGCAGAGACCTCAATTTGCTCCCCCATGTCCCTTTCCTTCCCCCTTCCCTTCCACCACAACAGGCTTACGAGCTGGACACTGCTCTTCAAGCTGCTGGGCTGTGTATTGGAAATCAGTTCAGTATTAGCCAATATGCCTCCTTAAAAACTGGCTATTGGTATTGGCCCCAAAAATCTCTATTGGTGCACACCTAGTAATATTGCAATGTGAACTGCAATGCCCAGAAGCCTCCAGAGGACTGCAGGAAGGAGCTGTAGTGTGAACTGTAATTCCCAGAAGCCCCCAGGGGACTGGAGGAATGAACTGCAATATGCACCACAACTCCCAAAAGGTGGCAGGGGGCAGTAGGAAGCAGAAGGAGCAGCATAAGGGCATAGATTGCATGGTACTGATGGAGATGTGTAGCCAGAGTTAGAAAGAGTGGCAGAGCTAGGACTGTGAGCTCCAGCAGTGGGGCTCAGATGTGGAGTTTAGTAGCAATTAAGCATTTTATGAACCAGAGACTAGTTTGGAGGCCTCTGAAGTTGTGGCAGCGTTTAAGGTCTGCAACTGTATATATCCAGTGTTATTATTTTCTCACAGTTACCTGTTCGTGGGTGATTTCACCACAGTGCCTCTATTTGCTTCCTGTTACCCAGATGCTAAATGTATGTACTTTAATGTAATCAGGAGTCATAGTAGAGATGATATCTTTTATTAGACCAACAAGATTTTTGCAAAAAAAAATTCTTTTATTGCAAGCTTTCGGGCAAGAAATGTTTTTGCAAAAATCTTGTTGGTCTAATAAAAGATATCATCTCTACTATGAGGTCTGATTGCCTTTTCCTCTAGACTAATACAGCTACAACCTGAATACCTGTACTTTAATGTTAATGTTTATTTACCTGTGTCTTCCCCCCTCTCCTTAGCCCCTTGGCTTGTAACCCTAATCCCCAGCATCCCTATATAAAAGTGGGAACTCCTCTTGCTAGCTTCCTTTGCCAGTTCCTGGGGTTGCAAGGTTTGGTACACCTTGTTCTAATCATGCCATTGATTGAATGTTTGGCCAAGTGCCCTCATGTGGCTGGGAGCCCTATCAGCTGAGAGGTTCCCTGCCTTGGGGGCGGGGGGTGGCACCATCCACTGCCAGACCTATAGTTGACAAAGCTAGCAGTGGTGACAGTGTTGTCAGCTGTGGGACTTGCAGTGTGAGGAATGCTGGCCCCCTGCAAGCCTCCCCAACTGCAGGGCTCGCAGCAGGGGCAGCATCATCTGTTGTGGGGCTCGCAGAGGGAGAAGTGGGGAGAACGCCACTGCCACAGCAAGTCTCATGCTTGCAGCAGTGGCAATGTTCCCTGCACTGCCCCTGCTGCGATTCCCAGCTGGAGGCATAATTATGTGGACTGCACGTTAGATCACATTGCACCTTTATCTGCACATATAGAGGGGGGCTTGGAAGACCAAAATTGTAAAATGGATAGGTAGCTGTAATTAAAATAATTCTGAATTTAAGTGACAATTTCAGCAACTGCCTTCGTATTTTGATAGTCTTTAGGTAACCTATCTCATCCTTATGAATTATTTAATATAATGAAATAATGTTACTACAGATGGAAGACTTAAAAGATAGGTTCACTAAACATGTAATCTCATGAATTAGATAACAGTTTGACACACATTTGTTAACAATAAGTGACACAGGGCATTGATCACCAACACCTATAAAAGCAGCAATAATAAAAAAAGAATGCAAAAGTTTTCCCCCTTTGCCCCCCAAATTTTTCCTTCCTTCAGTCCTGTAAGAGAGGCACAGGAAACAGAGTAGGAATTCCCATCACTGGTGGTGAACAGAAGGTTTCACATTAATAAAATAGATGATTTCCTTAGTCTGAGCACCTCAAAGGGGCATAAATTTCAAATAACATCAAAGCAAAAGAAAAGTTTTAAAGCAGTCTTTCAAAGAGGCTGCTGGGGTTTCCTTGGTTGATTTCCATGTTTAAAGAGTCACAGTAATTTGTTACTTTCTTTCCCAAAACAATTCCATATGTCTTTGAATTATTTAAGATTGTTTTGTTTTTTGTTGTCATGGATTTTACAGAAACAATATCACAATTATTTAAAGTGGGGAAATGGAGTTAGACAGACAGCGTCTGAAGTTATAGATTGCCTGGATGATCTCATAGACCAAAACTTTGCAAACTTATCCTGTGTTCTCCAGGGTTAGATAACAAAATTCCAGATAAAATGACAAGCAGGTGACCTAAGTATAAGTAAGTATAGATCTGATATTATAGAAATGTGGCTGCTTATTTATTACTTGAGAGAAATAACTGATTTTTCTGAGACAAAACACAATGATGGAGCAAAAAATGACTGTGAGATACCTAGGCCCAAATTTGAGTTGAGCCTGAGTAAACATTAACTGGGTGGAATTCAGTCTGATAAAAGTAGCAAAGTAGTGTATGTTTAAAGGATTAAAAGTTATTCACAAATTAGTTTTCTAATTTAGGGCATGGAAATTGCTGTTGTGAGAGATGGCACAGGAGAAATATGTGCCAATTGAGGTAGAAGCTATTTTTAAAGAAAATGGTTTCTGCTGAGCATGGGCTTTTATCCATTACTGAAGCTGGTAGCTGGCATTAGTGTTTCTAGAATGGCTCTCAGACACACACTGTTTTTCTTATTTATGGAAGAACACCTCTACCAAGTTAACCTGGTAGACTTTGAGAGGCAGTGGTACTCTCCACACTGATCTGAAACCTAAAGAGTGACCATTGTAAGAGTACTGTGCTGAGCTGATTGCATCCAGAATACTTGGCTCCGCTTCGACCCAAAGCCACAAAGGTGATCCCTCAAGTGGTTTACATGAAAAATGATCCCCATAAAAGTTGACTATATAAGAGTTCTCTCTTTAGCCAACATTAAGACTGGAAATGTGATGCAAAGGACTTGGCTCATCAACCGTGCTAGTCCTATAACCAGCCAAGAGATCTCACCTATGCCACAAGCTCAGTTCACTGCCTGGTTCAAGTAACCAGTGACTACATTACATAAAGATGCTAAGAAACAAAGCAGAAGCTTCCACCATTTTTTTTTTCCTTTTCATTTTAGGGTAGGATGCCTCGTTATTTGATGTGTGTGTGTTCACAGAGAAACAGTTCTATGAAAAGTTTCTTAACAGTAAACACAAAACACCCAAGTCTGTCATGTATAGTTAGTTATTCAAAAAGATATTGTTTTCTGTTGCTTAATAATCCTAGTAACATAACATTATGTAACTACCTTATAAATAAATCAAGATGGAATTACCACCAATGGTGGGTGATTCTCATTAGCAAGGTCCAAGAGCAGAATGGACATTCATGTCATTTACTGGTGGGGTGGATGCAAAATGTTGGCTGGAACACTCCAACCAAGCTTGAAAGAGGAACTGGTTCTCCTTAAACTTTCCTCATGTAAGAGTTAACACAAAGTAATTGCTTTTGTGTCAACCTTATAATTTGATTGGATCAGCTGATGTATTAATTTGTTGATTTGATCATTTGTACAAATTGATGTATTGACTTACTCATGATCGTGATTTTGTTTTGTGACTTTAGTTTGATGATTGTATTGTTCCATCTTTAATTAGCTCTCCTGAAATGACAGTAGCAAGAGGTTTGCTTGTATTCTATTTGCTTGCCTAGTTTTTAAATATATTTAATAAAACACACTTTGAATGGGTTTATTCCACCTAATTTGCAAGACAGTCCATGTAACACTGAGGACAAAGGTAATTTAAATAGAACACTTGTAAGTCATGTGACTGTGCTTCCAAATAAATACTCATAGCCTAACAGGATTGTAGAAAATTTAAAGCAAAGCTATTAAAATATTGTCTTAGTAAATGATTAAACTAAAACTCTCAAGGTTAATATAGTGCCTTTTAAAAGCTCCTTACCAAATGCAAGGCAAACCTTAGGCAATCATTGCCTAATTAAACAAAAAAATGTTTACATCTCAACTTCGGAAACATATGCTGTTAATTTTAGATTTGCAGTTGCCATGTGAGCTGAGTATAACTTTTAAAACAAAACACGGAAAATGACATGTTTCTCAGCATAGGTGTGAAGGGAGCATTTGATGTAATGGCTTAGGTATCTACACAAGCTAAGCTTTGGCACAGTCAAGCTACAGCCTATTATTGTATAATAAAATTATTTGTTGAGGTAAAATATATTTGTTGAGGTATGCCATAGACTTGGATAACAATACTGGTCTCAATGAACATTGCTAAGACTTTCACACATTAAAGGAGTTACAGCTTCTCTTTCAAATTGGACTTTTCCCATTGCCTCTTTTTGTGTTGACTGTATAAACTGCATTCTTCACCATTACTACTGCAGTTCCAGAGCTCTTGCTGTAACCAAGAAAAGTGTGTGGAAAGTCTATTCAGTGATGCATTAAACAGACTGTGCAAGCTGATGCCCCACTGCCTGACTATACACTGCGGTACACAATGCCACAGCAGAACTCAGCTGTTAGGTAGACAAGGAGTGGAGGATTCATTTGGAGGTTTCAGAAACCCTTTTCCCTTCAGGATCTCATTCCCCACACTGCATAATGGAAACACACTGTTTCCAGCAATGGCAACGTGTAAGGGGTGCATGTGTACCCCCTGAGAGTGCCGGTGCATGCCCTAACTGGCTGCATTCCCTGGTTAGGCGACAGGCAGGGGGGTCAGGTGGGAGTCCTGGTGCCCCCCTGTGAGCGCCGGCTGGGGAGTGGGAGTGCTGGATGTAGGCTGTGGCTGCTTCCGGAATCACCACGGCCACTTCCAGGAGTGCTACGGCCACTTTCAGGAGCAGTGCGGCTGCTCACCAGTTGGTGAGTTTTGCTGCAGGGGGACTCCCCCCCAGTCGCTGGGGGGGGCATGTACCCCCCCTGACTAAGGTGGCACTAGTCGCCCATGGTTTCCAGTGTGAGCAGGCCTCTCCACTGCTAAATGGAGCATTGTGATGGGAATGGCTTTGAAGCTGAAGTAACATTGCTGCTATATGGATGTATCCAAAATTGCTGCTTCTCCACAAAACAGTGTGATACCGCTATAAGGGCCACAGGGTAACTTCTGTTTTGGTATTCTGCTCTCTAAGACATTAGAGACCTGTGTATATAGAGCAGGATCTCAGAGTTAAAACTTTTAGCTTGGTCTTGAAAACAGAAATTTGCATTAATTACTAGAATTACCAGGATGAGACTTCCATTGTCTCAGCAGGCACTGAAATGGAACTTAGTTAGGAACTAGGGGTGCCTACACATGAGCAGGGAGGTTGCTCCAATGCACTGTGATTCCAGTGCATCGTTCATGACTGGTGCCTCCCAATTAATTGAGCAGACTCGATTAATCGAGTTAGGAACTTAGGAACTAGGGTGCTCAATTAATTGAGTCTGCTGGAGCATGGCAATTACTGTGCTCCAGCAGCCTCCTGCATCTTGTGTATCAGCATCCCCGCCATAGGCAACTTGCAGAGGAGACATGGGGGGGCACGTGCTCTCCCGAGACTGGCCACCAGGAACACCGCTGCTGGCTTCTGCAGGTGGCTGCCACTTGCCACAACACCACCAATGCTGCTGCCCACAAATTGTGCCCCCCCAGTCTTGGGAGGCACCAGTCATGAACGATGTGTGCCCCCAGCAGCTGTGGGGGGGGCATGGTGGCGGCAGGAGTGTGGTGATGGGAGCACAGCGGCAGTAAGCAGGAGTTCCTGCAGACGCCGCTGGTGGTGTCGGCTGTGGGGGGGGGAAGGGAGGGCGGCAAGTGCTGACTGCCCACAGGCGCCACCAACAGTGTTGGTGACACCTTTTTGTATGGTGTGCACTGCCAGGCTCAGGGGGTGCACGTGCACCCCCTACACCTTGCCCCTGGCACCAGTCATTCATGATCCCCAGACTTCAAAATGGCAGCAGGGGCACTTTATCTAAAGCTTGCTTGAGGAGCTTTAGATAAAGTATCCCCACTGCCAATTTGAAGCACCAGGATGCTGATAAACAAGACGCTAAGGGCACTTTAATTAGAGTGGCTCTTGGAGCCACTCTGATTAAAGCACCCCTCTCCCCCATTCCCAGAGCACCTGTATAAATGCCCAGAAGTCCATGTTTTATATAGTGATGCAAATTGACCTGGTGCCAGCACCTTAAAAACTCATTATGTACCTTCATCAAAGATTACAAGGGTTCCAGGGAAGTCACACTTAGAGCATGATAGGGAGTGGTAAAGAGCAGTGCTGTGAAAACATGCCCTGCCCACTTGCTCTTGCTCTGAATCTCCCAAATGCTGAAAAAAATGCTGCACCCATCAATTTCAGAAGAGCATTTAGGTTTTCTAACCTCTTTAACTATTCTTTAAGGTTTCAAAACTGACTTCACCACCTCCCCCACCTTCTAATTTAAATGAAGGACCTGCACCAGACTTCCCTTCTACAGCAGGGATGCTAGGGGCAATCATGGATGCGGACAATGCCATAAGTCTACTTCTTCTGAGACAGATGCTATACAATAGCTCTATTTTCTCTTTGAACCCTACATGATGACCCCAGTGACACTTCTGTACACTGCATGTCCTTCTGTTCATATGAGGAAATTACATAACTAAAGTTTGAAATTGGTAAAGTGAGTGTCCTCATCACTGATCTGAGCATACTGGGGACTACAAAATTGCTTGTTCACTGAGCATTATTTTAATATCACTGTGAGCTAATTTTTAGAACAGGAAAAATCCTATACCATTACAGAAATGAATTCAATTGACTTAGAAACTGGAAATTGACAAGAAAATATAGAAACTTGAAAGAAAACAAAATGACAGCATCCTGACGCCCTGGTTTTGTCTGGTGCAATGGTTTTTAACCAGATCTCTGTGAGATTTTAAATAGCCAAATTTCTAGGGCAAAGTTTGAAAGGTCTGTTTATCTCATAATTTTAGAAAAAGGCTGCTAATTCTTCAAGGTTTATTTCTTTTTGTTCTTTTGGAAGCAATTTTAGCCTGGCCAGAGTTCGTAACCTCCCCGCCAAGTGCCCCTTTATTGCAGGAAAATAATCCCAGTGTCTATTTTCTGAAGTGAACAGTGAAGATACAAATATTTATTAACTCTCTGTAATGCCACGTTTTCTCTGTTCAGTATCAAATCAACTTAGTTTTGGGAAAAGGACCTCCCATACCTTCAAGGAAGTTCCTTCAGGAAATAACTGTGTGAGAGGAATACTGTGTCCAGTTTTGGGCCCCCTACTAAAGAAAGGATGTGGACAAATTGGAGAGAGTTCAGCGAAGGGCAACAAAAATGGTTAGGTGGCTGGGGCACATGACCAAATTTCCCTCTAAGGTGCGCGCATGTGTGGCCGTGCACAACTAAAAGTGCAGCCACAAATAGCCTTTTCAAGGCCATGCACCAGGAGAGGCTGGGGCGGGAGCCTGGTGTGGG